TTTTTGTCCAATAATTATGTTATAGTATATGCTAAAATAGATAAAAGAAAGAAAGAAGGTAGAAACTTTCAAGTTTGAAATTTGAAGAAATTTCTAAAACTTTATATAAAATATAAAACTAATATTTTAATTATATTCTATTAATAAAATATATTAAAAATAAATGTTTGAAAAACAAAATAATATTTTATTAAAAATATTAAATATTTTAATAATATAATTAATGTTAAACGTCTCCTTCGACTAACCCCCACGCAGCTGCTACATAAAATTGATCCAGAAATCGATAGTTGAGAATCTGTTGCTTGTGATCACGCAATTCTAAGATTAGAAGGATGCTTCCGTGAATTTGGTGCGGTTTTACCTCAATCTGTATTCGTATCCATCTCTCAAGTCTATCGGAAGAAGCCATGAGCCTCGTGCCGTTCCCTCCACCGCCAACCGCCGGAGATGATGATAACAGAAGCAGTGGCGGAGCTGATGATAACTCAGCAGCTACTCCGCCCTTGTCAATCGATACTCTAGCAATCAATTCACCCTCTTTACCAATTTCTCGAGGTATGCAGCTGTAATACATCTACCTACCTAAACTCACCTCTTTACCTAATTTTGAATCAGGTGGAAGATTTGTTATCGGAATTACAGGATTTCAGGCTTTAAGCTTAACAAGTTACCTGTTGATGATATATTTGATCCTTTTAGGTTTTACTATATGCGATTTGTCACTGTGTTTATATTTACTTAGTCATTTTGGTTTTGATCTTGTCCCGAGATAAGGTCCGGTGAAATTGACTGCGAGGTCATGCTTGTACGAGATATGTGTGAAAAACCATTGGAAACGTCCCGTATTCGCTTGTTGTGACGAAAAAGGTCCGAGTAATCTCAGATTGTAAGTTCATCGACTCTAATTTCAATCACCATGCCAATTTTCAATATGTACTCCCTGTTTCATCTGAAGAAGGAACAAAATTCCAAATACAGCCATCTATTTTCAATTCTCTAGATTTGTTATTTAGTACATGAAGAATTAGAGATGCTTTCATATAAAATACTCATGCTTTAATGAGTAAATTTATCACTACCTTATCAACTGATTATGTGTAATATCAAGAAAACTGAATCAATAGTGTCAATTCTAATAATAAGTTAACCATTCAGATGATTCAACACCAACCTTAGAGATGATGTACGTGAAACAGGTTCACTTATAAGGCCATTGTTGAGATGAAAGAAGGCTCAAGGTCAAGGATAGTGGTTGAGTGCATTGGCAAGCCTCAGCCAAACAAGAAAAGTGCAGCAGATTCAGCTGCTGAAGGAGTTTTGTGGTACCTCGTGCGTTTAGGTTATCCCAAAAAGCCTGACCGGTCCAAGAAAGTAAGGTGATTGGTTGTACTGTAGCTTGGATTAATTTCAATAATCTTGACACCACGCAATTGCAAACACAAGTATATGAAACTGCATTATAATATGCATGGTATTGCATTTCTGTGAAACCCATATGAGTTTATGTTCTCATTGCCAGTGCAGTATGATTGAAGTGGTTCAGTTCTTGGTCAATTAATTTTAAAGGCATTCTTGAAATTGGGATTGCAACACGTGATATGTATGCATGACACAAACATAAGTACTTCTAGAACTAAGGAGGAGAGACAAAAGAACCAGTAAGATGCATTTCTACAAAGAGAACTGAGATATAATACAATGATTTTAGCAAGGAAAAAAATGAAATTATAAAACAAAGGCTGCCTACAATGACTTTCCCCTCCAATCCAGCAAAGCAGAGGGAGTTGGTGAACTGGTGCCACCCTTTTTATGCTTCTAATGACCTAGTCTTATTACATTTTTTTCGCCAACTGCGGATCATATGTAAACGATCTCGTCTGCTGGACTTATTCCAACATCTCATCCATTGCTTATCTTGAATGAAATCAAAGCTGAAAAGAAACCTTCATGAAATACAATGTTGTATCTTCCTAAATCTTATTTCTCTTTGCCAAAATCTTTTCTAAGGCGAACTAAACTACTTCCGCCTCAGTAACTTTAAACTGTATAGTGTTGTTGAATGGTGTCAATGTCAAGACCCTTGAGCTTCACTACTGATTCAACATGCCCCTTTAATGTATGAAGCTCCCTCAGTCTGTAACAAGTACATAGAAAAGCAATAAAACAAACTATGAGATATAAACCTGGTATAATGATATTTGGAACTCTGAAGTAATCCTTCTAGAATGAGCTTACCTAGCCACTTCAGCCCGCTTCTTGGCCTGTTCAGCAAGCTCGGACAACTCCCTGTAGCTATTTTTGTCATTAAAAATTTCTGCTTGCTCTGGCGGCTGGAGACCATGCAAAGTCCGTTGGGCCATGGCCCATTGGGCTCTCCTTTCTCCCCGTCCATAGTCCTTTTTGGTGGTGAAAGCGGTCTAGTTTCTCATAAGAACAGAAGAGAGGAAAACTCATTCAATCAACTTAAGGAATTAAACAATCCAATAGTGTTAAAGCATGACGAAGAATATATATTTTACCTTATTTTGGAGCAGATTGTCCCAGGCCTTGCCAGACAATGAATACCGGATGCAGAATTTGAACAAATCTAGAGGGATGTAGAAGATTATACTATAGATCCAAATCACACCAGCCCATCCCCAACCTATTCCTTTGATTCTCGCAAATTTCCAGTTTGCATATACAGCGATCAGTGTAGCAATCTTCAATAAGCGAGATTATTACAATACACCCCAATTTTTTAAAGTTGAAATATAAATAGAGCATGAAATTAAAATTTTAGTTTCCCCACAAAGCTCACCAGCTGTGCTATCAAAAAGGCTGTCACGAGCAGAAGACCAGGACGTTCAACGTACGACCAACCCCTTGACCTAGTGACAAATATAAGTGCCTGACTGACGATGCTAACTTGGAGGTAAAGAGCTGCTGTAAGCTCGAAGTCCTTGTTTCTGATCGAATGTACACCAAATTTGTCCTGAAACCCCATCATACAAGTACCATTAAATTTGGTTAATTACAGCTAAACATTGTGAACTAAATAACAATATATCTTACAGTGAAGAAGTCAGATTCTTGAGCTGCCCAGAAGAATATTACAGTCATGACAGCTAGGTAAGTGCCAAAAACAATCCCGGTGAGAAAGATTTCCTTCAACTTCCATGAGTCTGGCATAGGGGAAGGCTTCACCTTGTCCTTTGATATGGTCATGATGGTTCCATCATTGAGGATGGCAATGATCAGGATCATAAAAGGCGAGAAATCAAACTGCCAGATAAGAGCAATTAGCATGAAACCAAGCACAACACGAATGGTGATGGAGACAGCATAGATGGTGTAGTTCTTCATCCTCTGAAATATGGCTCTGCTAGTTAGGACTGCACTGACTATGACACTTAATCCTGGCTCAGTCAAGACTATGTCAGACGCACTCCGAGCTGCATCGGTTGCATCAGCAACCGCGATACCAATGTCGGCCCTCTTTAGTGCGGGTGCATCATTAACACCATCTCCTGTCATCCCGCAAATATGTTTTCTCTCCTGTAGCTTCCTCACAATCTCATACTTGTGCTCTGCATTCAGCCCCTTCTACAGTTTCAGTTCTAAATTATATTTACATATAATTGCTAATGAATGAATGTGTCCTTACCCGGAAAGACACCAGCAAAGCCATCAGCCTTCTCAATTAGCTCCTCAATAGGGATATTGGCAATAGCTGCATCTTTGTTTTGGCCAAGGAGGGAGGAAGAAGGGTACATGTTTGTTCCCATTCCAAGCCTCCGACCAGTCTCTTTGCCAATGGCTAGCTGGTCACCCGTGATCATCTTAACGTTAACACCAAGGTGGAGGGCTCGTCGAATTGTTTCTGCACTATCATGCCTTGGAGGGTCGAACAAAGGCAGGAGACCAACAAACACCCAAGGCCCTCCAGGACTCTCCTTGGTTTTTTCGGGTACTGTCTGCATAATAAGCACCAAAAACACTATTAGGGGCCATTTACCAACTCAAGTAACTGAGTAAGAGGTTCAATCTGTGTAAGCGCACACTGAGCAAGAGTTCTCTCCCTTAGCTTACCAGGTCAGCATCTCGGTCAGCATCATGGACCGGTAAGAAAACTTTGTAAACAACATCTTTGACCGGGTAATTACCTCTTACCTCGGTAAGAGGCGGTAAGCAGGTAGTAAACAACACCTTAGATCAAACCAAAGCTTCAAAGTCTAGAAATATAGAAACTCGCCTGTTGACAAACAGCAAGGGAACGAAGGCCACGTTCCGCAAACTTATCAATGATGTTGAAAACCCTTTTACTCTCATCATCCTTTAGGTTGCAGAGCTCCACAATCTGACATATTCAGGATACCATATTAGCATATGAACCAAATAGGAGTTGGTTTTATGTCTTCAGCTAAGCATCTAGATTAGTTTATCGTACCTGCTCAGGTGCACCTTTACTCACTCGGTGCCAATTTCCGTTTTGATCTATATATGTTATTGCTGTTCGTTTGTCCACAGGATTGAAGGGCAGAAAATGTACCTCGGTGATCCCTGCCCTTGCCTGCATCAGCAAAACCATGAGCCTGTTTCGTCTGCACCTTACAATAATATTATTGAAGACTTGATTATGGCCATGTTTGGCAACCGTAAGCTTGCTTATTCTTTTAGCTTATTGATAGAAGCTCCGTTTGGTTAGCCATTTTGAATCAGCTATATTTTATCTTATCTGCTAGTTTGCTAAACATAACCTATATATGATTACCTCCTTGGGATCAGCAAGCATCCCTACAATGCAAGCATCAATTGCATCCTGATTCTCAACTCTTGAAGCCCTTGCTCCCAATAGGATCACTGTTTCCTTGTCCATGTCCTTTGCAAAGACCTAGAGACGAATTAGAAAAAGGTCAGCACTTGAACCTTTCTTGTTCATTGGACTTCACTTGATGGATCACCCACCTCAATAAGAGTTTTATCAACTGTGAGCTTGTTAAGGGTGAGGGTGCCAGTCTTGTCACTACATAGGACATCCATCCCAGCCATTTCTTCAATGGCTGTCATCCTCTTGGTGATGGCTCCTTGCTGTGATAACTTATGGGACCCAATAGCCATGGTGACCGATAACACGGTTGGCATTGCAATTGGGATTCCTCCTATGAGTAGAACCAACAAATTGTCAATTCCGTCCCTGTAGGATCGTTTCTGAATCGGGTACATCACCACTATTTCTATCACCAGCCCAACGGCAATGGAGCATATACAAAAGTTTCCAATGGCCGTTAACACCTAAAAAAGAAAGGAAATCTTCGTCATCATGATTGTCACAATCCTAGCATCTCTTTAACGCCCCATAGATAACCTCCAAACCAATATAAACCATGGTGGAAGTTATTGTATCCCACAACTTTGATAAGCTCACAAATGTTAATGTCAGAGTGGTTGTTACAAGATTCTTTTAATAATAACATGGATGATAGTTGTAACGTCCCACATGATAGAAAATGAGATCTGTCAGCTTCTTATAAGCTTCAAGCTGTGGGTTACTAATAACTTCCACCATAGTTTTAAGTTGGATTTGAAGTTATTGGGTCAGCCAATTGTTTTGGGCTATGGGGTGTTACAATAGTGACAAATGACATACCTTTTGGAAGTGGCCGACTTGATTTGTGCTATCGACTAGGTGAGCGGCCTTGCCAAAAAAGGTGTGTACCCCAGTTGCAATGACAACGGCTTCAATCTCACCCTGTTTGCAAGTCGAACCTGAAAACACACTATCGCCAGGTTTCTTGGTTACTGGTAATGACTCGCCGGTCAATGCAGCCTGGTCGATTTTGAGAGGGTCTCCTTCTAAGAGACGTGCATCGGCTGGGACAATATCTCCCAATTTGATGCTAATAATATCTCCAAGTACAAGCAGTGAAGCATCCTCTTCAGACCATTTCCCATCCCTTAACACTTTTGTTTTAGGAGCAAGACCTGCCATTAATGCTGCTGCTGCATTTCCTGCATTGTTTTCCTCTATGAAACTTATGGTGGAGTTAATTATTAACAAAGTTGTGATTCCCACAAAATCTTGCCAATCTGGTGGCTTCCCCTGCAATCCAATTCATAATTCATCATCAACCCATCACACATATGCTATATTACATATATATATATATAGAGAGAGGGTCCGGGGAAAATCTCAAGAAAATGAAAAACTGAGGGACATCATAATAACCCTTCATTTGTACGTCATGCACATATGTATACAAGTCATTGAAGATGTTTTCTAGTTTCAATACACGTGTGCATGTTATGGACACAACACACTGAAAAAATTACTTGTATGCATATGTATACCATATAGATGAATTGTTACCAAGGTGTTCCTCTATTTTTTATATTTTTAAGGTTTTTGACCCTATATATATATATGTATATATATGGAGAGAGAGAGAGAGAGAGACCCCTCCATTGGCCAAGACAATAGCCATAATAGCAGCAGCCTCCATGACCCATGAGAGAGGATTCCACATAAACCCCAGGAACTTGAGGATTTTGCTTTCCTGTATAATTAATGAATAATAATAAAGATTAAGATTAAGATTAATTGGGATTGAATATTTAAAGTTGTATATAATAGGATTAAGGGGGGTGGGGGTGATGAATTATTTATTAATTACCTTTTTTTCTTCCAACTTGTTTGGACCAAAAATCTCAAGCCTTCTCTTGCCTTCTTCACTTGTCAATCCCTCCTTTGTACATTTCAATTGTTGAAAGAGCTCATCCATTGGCATATGTTCCTGTAATCATCATTATTCATTAATGAATATTCATTAGAAAACCATGGATGAATAGAGTTAAGAAGAAGAAGAAGAAGAAGGTAATACAAGATCTACAGCCTCCTTCATGATATCATCCCAGGTAATGCCGGAGGACGCGTCTGCCATTGTCGATGAGTCTGAGTTTCGTGTGGTTAAATAAATGTAAGTTGGTAACTTTAATTGGTTAGAGAAAGTATATGTATGATACAAAAAATGGGGGGTAAATTTACGTAGGTAGTAGTGATTAATTAGTAGTAGTGATTAATTAAGGCACAAAATTTAGCATGGAGAAATATAAATACGTGTTTAGGTTTAAAAAAAGGAGTGGATGTTATTTAATGAAGGCATCTGCCAACACTCCAACCATCCAAACTAACTTACTTTAGAGAAATTCACGTTTTATGACTTCTTCTTCCGCCTTACCTGTTCTCATTCCACTATATTACGGATTTGGTCCCTCTGCTATATCACTTTTCTACGAAAATGCTCCCTAGACTCTATTTATTACATAGAGCACCTCGTTTATTTTGAGTAAATTACATTGAACCTATGGAGAAATCGGTGTATCCACCCGACCGGGCCGGAGATGGGGACGGGGCTGAGTAACGTGATCCCCGACTATCTCGTCTTCGTGTTTTAAATATATTATATATTTAATACAAGGGTACTCGTGCAACGCAACGAGATACATCTTGATTTTAATATTTCATTTTGTTTTATCATTAACATATTCATTATTAACAGTTCATCATATTCAACATTAACAGTTTCATTATGTTTCATCATTAACATATTTCATCATTAACACTTTCATTATGTTTCATCGTTAACAGTTCTAAATAGCTATTGTCCCATCATTAACAGTTCCATATCGTCCAATGGAACATATATTTTAAGCATATAATATTTATATACAGCAAATAAAACAAATAAACTCATACACCCTCCTAACCTTTGGTGAAGTTTGAACCCTTGACCTCGTAGGAGGCCAAAGACTCACATACCGTTAGGTCAAAGGCCATTTGGTTCCAATAAAACATGTTCATGGGATTGAATGCCGAAAAGGGGATTTGTTTTCGTTTTGCCCTTTCTTGTTAAAAATAACAATAATTTGCTTTCTTTTATTTTTTTACTTTACTAAAATAATTTGTTTTAATCGTGACCTTTGATCATAAAAAAGGGATGGATGTAATTAGTTTATATAATTTATAAAGTACACCTCATATTATATATATATATATATATATATATATATATATATATATATATACACACACTATATTATAAAGCATTTGGCTAAAACTCTTAAAACTTTTAAAAACTCTTAAACTCTTTCATCCTAAAACGATTTAATCTCTATCCGATTTTATTCCATATCTGAATTCGTGTAACTAACTGCAGATAAACACAATCAAATACATGATAAACATCT